GTCATCCAGTAAAACCACCAACGTGGATAGATTTGTAGTAAGGACCAGCAGATACCAATAAGACACCATAGATGAAAAGATTGCTCAGTTCATTTATGCCACAAATTCTGCTTTTTGCATTACTTACAATAAACACTTCATTGACATGGTCGAGTCCTTACAACCAGACTACACTCCACCTGGTAGAGCAGACATTGGTGGAAGGTTGCTAGATACAACGTATGAGAAAGAACTTGAACAGCGTGCAACAAATTCTGAAGGGGAAATTTGCCAGTTTAAGCCTTGATGGGTGGTGCAACGTACACAATGATCCAGTAATATGTGCCTGTGAGACAACAGAAGATGGGTTTGTGAAGAGGTCGGTACCGCCTCCTCGGAAGAGGAAGATGATCCCGGCCAGGGTTTACCAGAGACGGCAGTGACAAGGCTGAGGAAGGAACTCCTGAGGTGCCCGAAACTGAATTTACCAGATCCCCAGGTGCGTTGCATTGGCTCCTCCTGCTGCCCTGGGGCTACTTCAGGCAGGGAGTTCTTCCTGGGGAAGGAAGGAAGGGAAGAGAGAGAGCCCCAGCAGGACAGAGGCTCTGGTTGAGAGCTTATTCCCTGGGAATGGGGCTTGAGACCAAGATGGTCTGTGAGGTCAGAGGAGCTCTGTGAGTGCTGCTGTCTGCCAGTCACAGCAAAGGTTAAAAACCCTAAGCTTGCAGACTCCAGAGGGAAACCTGAATAAACAGGAGAGGTTTTTTTTCTTCTTTTGAGTTCCACTGACAATGTGGATTAGGAGGCTGTGTAGCCCCAGGGGGGCACGGTCTCACCTTAATGAGGGCAATTAATGGAGCCCAGGAGTGAAGCCTAGCCAGCCGAAGAGGGATTGTGGCTATACCTGTGGGGTATCAGCACTAGAAGCATTGAGTTCATTTTCTTCTGCTCACTAACAAGGGGAGGATTTCCCTAAAGCAGTTATTTTCTTTTTTTTTCCTGCCGAGTGAAGGAAGCCCTACAGCCTTGGGGAGGAGAGGAACAAAAGACAAGGAGAGAGAGGCTTGATCTGATTTCTTAGACCGGGCAAAAATGTCTGGGTCCAAAGTCTGGACAATTTAAAGATTCTTTCTTTTTGCCAGAGATAACTATCCAGAAGAAAAACGATAATTGGCCTTGAGTCAGAGAAAACGGCCAGGCTGACCACATGCACATATTCTGGATTATACCTGATACCATGGTAAGAACTGGTAGGTGTACGGCTGGGGTGAAAGGGGAGGTTGGAGCCCCACTTGGAGGGCACCTTGCACTATAATCAGACTCATGAAAACAACATCACCTCCCAAAAGAACATTCCATCAAGTCATGGCAGGTGAGAATTAGGTGGAGACTAGAGTCTGACTAGCTGGTCAAGGCATTCCCAAACCACAGACAGGTGAATGTCATCAGGATGTCAAGGGCCACGTCCTTATGCGGTGATCCCCCAACAGGTTGCATATGTTTCAGAAACAACAGATACATTGGGAAATGCCCACACAGCAGAACATTTAAAAGAAGTGGCAGTGAAAGCTGTAATAAACTGTGAACAAAAATTTAACTGTCACATGCACAGTTGTCAGTGACAATGCTGCAAGGTTGGCAAAAATGAGAAGATACTTAGAAGAAGAAACGGAAGGATGCTCCTTAATAACATAGGGCTACAGTGTCCATTTAATGCGTCTTTTAGCCAAAGACTTGAGTACTTCTCCAGGAATAAAAGAAAATGTTGTTGAAGTCATAAAGTACTTCTGTACCAAGCATTTTGCTTCAGCTTCACTGAAGAGAGCAGGAGGATCCAAACTCACTCTCTCTCAAGATGTTCAATGGAATTCTGTGGTTCATTGTGTTGAACAATGTATTAAGAACTGACCTATTTACATTGGATTAAGGAGGAATGTAGAGGATATGCTCAATATACTGAAGCCTACATCCATAGCCTTAAACAAACTTCAGAGAGGTTGTTGCTGCATTGCTGATGCTGTTGAAATTTGGAAGGCACTTCAAGAGACATTACAAAAAGAAATACCTAACCAGAAAGTTAAACTGCAGGCAGTAAAGAAGCAAATGGATCAAGCACCAACTCCACCTCATGTTCTTGCCAACATTCTCAACCCCAGATATAAAGATAGATGCCTAACTTTTGAAGATGATGCTGCTGCCATGGCATGGGCATCTCAAAATCACTCCTCAGTTATGCCAGTCATAATAAATTTCAGGGCCAGAGGGGAACCATTTAAATAGTACATGGTTTACTGATGATGTTTTGAACAAAGTCACTCCCCTGAATTGGTGGAAATCATTAGCCAGGCACCTTGAGATAGAGTTCCTTCAGTTGCTAAGCCAACTTTTCACAGCAGTAGTTTCCTCCGCAGGCATAGAGAGAATATTTTCATCGTTTGGTATTATTCACTCAAAGAAGCTAAGAAGTCAACTGGGAGTTGAAAAAGCAGGAACACTTGTATTTCTGTTTCAGTCTATGAATAAAAATGGCAGTGGGAGTGGGGAAGATGAGACCTAGCTGTAGAAGTTTTAAGGACAGCATACATTTAGTGTTGTGATGACTTGTCTGTTAGAGTTAATAAAATTTGAAAATTAAAAAAGAGAGTTTAAGGACAGATGTTGTAAAATGCTGTACTGATTTGTAAATTGACATGTTTTAGTGATCAAATTTGTCCCACTGTTTAAGAAATATGTGAAGAAGTATCACTGGGAAACTTGATTTAAATCAGAGTTTTCTCTTGGTGATTTAAATTAATGATTTAAATTGCTTTGATTTAAATCAATCCACCCTGGCTCTCACCTTCCTGGAGGACCCCTTCTAATACCTGGAGGGCATTAATGGAAAAGCTTTGCTTGGAGTTACAGTTGCAGCATAGGAGTTTAGCCTCAGAGAAGCTGTTCTCTCCCTAGTTGACTTCAGCGCAAGAAGCTGGAGAGCAGGAGACCTCTGCACTATCTAATGTGCAGCGGGTGCCACAGCTACTCAAACACACTTGCACCAGAAAGTGAGGGAGCTGCAACATAGTGCATTAGTTCAGTGAACAGTGAATCTCTCCCGCACTCCAAATTTCCCTCCACGGTCACCCCTGTTGTTTGTCATCTGCTCCAAAGGTGGATTGTTTGCAGACTGCCCAGGGGAGCTGTGGACTCTCCATCACTGGAGGAGTTTCAGGAGAGGGAGGACAGCCACTGGTTGGGGATGATCTAGGTGTAGCAATGCCTGTGCTTAGGGGAGGTGCGGGCTCCCCATTGCTGGAGGAGTTGAAGGAGAATTCATATAGCCACAGGGTGAGGATGATCTTGGCATAGTGATGCCTGTGCTCTCCTACAAGGATTTCCCAGGCTGTGCTGGATGCCCCTCCCTTTCTGCTACAGAAATCAGGGGGGCTTTAAGATTCCCTCAGAGAAGTTGGCTGCAGCCCAGGCTGGGGATGGTGACTGGGCTATGCCAATGCTGCTGGGACTCAAACCCAGGTCTTGACCCTTCGCTCAGAGTCAGACTGATGGCACTGCAGTGAGGTTAGGAAGGAATTCCCCCCCCCCACTCAGACTGGTATGGACTGGTTGGGGAGGGGCGCAGGGGCTGCCTTCCTCTGGAGCAGGTGGGGCACTGGGGGGAATAGTAACAATGTTAACAGTAACAGCAGCAGGACCTTGGCTGCTCTGGTTCCCGTTTCCTCTGTGGCAGGGTGAGGTGTTAGGTCTGGGTTGTTTCAAGGCCGGTGTTAGCCTTAGGTTGAGTTTAGAAGACGAATCTGTCTGGGGTGGTTTGAACAGGCGGTGCCTGCCGCAGGCAGGGCTGGACCACACGTTCTGGACGGACTGAGCTTCCTGCCAGCCCTGCTGCTCTGCGACTCGGGTGAGAAAAGGACGGCAGAGGCAGTTTTCCCCAAGCTGCACGATGTCGGCACTGTGCGACGGAGGCCTCAGAGCAACGGGTGGAAACACACAGCCCGCCCCGCCCCGTGCCCCGGCCCCTGGACGAGCCCCGATCCCGGCGGCACGAGGCCTGGCGCGACCGGCCCCGATCCCGGCAGCGGCCTCCAGTCCCCCGCAGGACTCACCGCTTTGTACTCGTACTGCAGGCTCCGTGCGGTCACGTCCGCCATGGCAGCTCCTCAGGCGCCGCCGCCTCACAAGCCCGCGGCCTAGCAATACGCACCACCGCGCCGCCAAGCACTTCCGGGGAAGGACTTCCGGTGTGTTTCCGCGTGCCCCGGAAGCACTCCCTCCCTCCTCTGCAGGGGTTGAGACCTGGATGTAGCCTCGGGCGGTGGGCAGCGAAAGGACCCCTATGTAGTTTGTTTGCTTTCAGCGTAGGCAAAGGGGACCCGGCTCTCAGGGTTGTTGTGTAGCGGCAGGCACCACACAGGGCAGCCCTCGGAAGGTGGAGCGAAGACCGCGGTCTTTCCTGCCTGTATAGCGCTCTTAGACGAGCGCGCGCAGCCTAGCCTGCTGACAGCTACGACGGCGGCACTGCGCTCCAATCAGCGTCCGGC